CCTCTTCCCTTTGGGAGCCTGGGACATTGATGCTGGTGTCATTTTTCTCTACACTCTTAAATTTAGATAGAAACAAAATAAAATAAGGCAAAACCCATTCTTGAAATAGACTAGGAAAATAAATAAGATTAGCACCATCCCTATCAGAGTAGCATAAATCAAATAGTCTGCCACATGGAAGTCAGTTAGCATGAGAGAGGCAATATAATATGGAAGCTCATAAACGTGAAGTTACGCAAGTGCAAGTGAGGCTTACACTTTTCGGGCATCTGTTTCTTCATTGGAAGACATCTGACATACTAGTGCTTCAACACAGTAAATGCTTACTGCCCCGTCTTCCTTTGTAACAGAATATAAATATTATACTGTTCACTAATGCCCTGTGCAAAAGACAGACATCACTCATTTCTGGTTTTCCTGAACTCCTATGGACAAGAATCTGAATTATCACACAAGGATATATCTTGTCTCTCAGCTTTCCACCTTCCTTCGAGTGTTGCATTTTCAGAGCTGTGTTAGGTGGGTTAGCTCACTAGTGCTACAAAGGCTAGTGGCCACTGTAAGCAGAGAGCAGCCTACACTGCCTGAAGCACAGCACACAGACCCTGCTCAGGAACAGCTTCTCTAAGGCATGGAATGGAGTGTTTGACAAATAGAAGTTCAAAGTCACAGATAGTGGAAATATTATATATCAGATACTGTGCTGAATCCTGTCCAGATAGGATCTATAATCCTTACAATAACACATATGTAATACCTTAATCAATAAAGAACAAAATAAAATAAACAAAAATAAAATTAAATTAAAAAGTAAAACCCTATGCCACAGAAATGATTACCTATTTTATAGATTAATATTTAGAAAACATGTGTGATTTGCCCAAATCCTTACAGATAGTTGATAAGAGATTTGGAGTTAAAGTCAAATCTTCCGGCTCCAAAGCCTGTGCACCTTTCACTACCCAAAATTAAGGACAAAGAAAAGAAAAGAGAAGAAGAGAAAAGAAAAGAAGACCCTAAGATTTAAGGTACTAGGTCAGCAGTCTCCAGCATCGCCCACCTTCAACATATTCTCCCTAGAGCCACTAAAGTACCTTTCTACTGTGGATATGACCAGGTACGGTCCAATTTAAAAATCTTCTAAAACCCCTCTGCTCCAGGATATTGCCCCAAACACCACTTACAATTTTTCAAATCCCATTATCTCCATTTATGCTATTTCTATTGCCTAAGTGTCTCAACTAAGCTCTTCACCAACAAAATGAACAAAAAGAGGTTCGTTCTTCAAGGAATAGCTTCAAAGTCTCTTGCACAGTGAGTCCTTGCTGTCAACCTCCCAGGCCACACACTCCCTTCCTCCTCCAGGCTCCCATCTCACTTTGTTTCACATAGTGCTTAGCTCACTGAACCAGACAGGCCCATCTGTTTTATAACTAGAATGAAAGGCATGAATGCTATTGTAATTCAATTTGTACCTCTGTAGCCTAGTGCAATGCCTAAGAATATATGTAATTTAACTCGAAAAATTACTAAAATCCTCTTTAAGGGCCCATAGGGAATTTGGGTAAAAGGAAGTGAGGGAGGGAGAGAAGGGCCAAAAAACTCAATTACAAATGCCTTCTCTTGCAGCCCAGCCAACTTTTATCTCTACGTTATGGCACTTACTGCTCACTTTGTATTAAGATGATTTATGTTTTATCCTCTCTCCTCTCACAATATCCACTTAGAAAAAAATAAACATCTTGAAACAGGTAACCCTTTTATATTTTTTACTAATTATCTAGCACTGTGCTTTCCACATAGAAGGTGCTCAATACATTTTTGTAGGGATATTGTCCTTGGGGGTCCCAAACAATCCACACTGACTTTATGCACATGGTGCCATGAAGAGAGAGATATATAAGAAAGTGTAGCCCTAACTGGTTTGGCTCAGTGGACAGAGCATTGGCCTGCGGACTCAGGGGTCCTAGGTTCGATTCCGGTCAAGGGCATGTACCTGGGTTGTGGGCATATCCCCAGTAGGGGATGTGCAGGAGGCAGCTGATCGATGTTTCTGGTAAAAGTAATTTCAACTTCATGAGAGGAAAAGGTACTGCTCATAAATACAGTTTTATATTTAAATAATAATTAAGATAATTTATAATATGATCAGTTTATAAAAGTATAATTTGTTATCTTTTGAAATCTTCTATCTCATCTTCTAATTTATAATTAATGCAGTCAACAATCCAAACCAAATATTTGAAATAAGCATTTGAGAATGAATGGACAACCCAGGAACACGACTACCATGAATCTGCTGCGTAGACAAGAGATAAAAGCAGCGGACAGATGTATTGAGGCCTTGGATGCACTTGCATTACCAGCTCACAATGCAACAAGCTCAGAAACACAGAGGTGATTACACTAGAGAAAAAAAAAGATGGCGCTTCAAAGTGAGTCGTATTATCATGGAAACGTCTACAATGTTGTACAGCAAGTTTAAGAACACGTTTTTGGCTGGTGAAGGAGATTCTGTAATCACAGGAATGCTGAATAAATCTCTTGCCAAACAAAGACAGCACGAGGAAGGAAATAAAACCAAAGATCCAGGGAAGAAAGGGCCAAACAAAGTCTCGAAAAGGAGCAAACAGGCCCAAAGACTCGAGGATCTGATGCTCAAGACAGAAATCAACCACAACATAATGGAGACAGCAACGAAGAAGGCAGAGCCGAGGGGGCGGTAAGAACCAGCCATCCAGTGCAGAGAGAGACAGAAATATCCCCGCAGGACTCCACGCTACATAAGGAGGTTGACACACCTGGAAAATAAAAAACATCTGAGAAGTATGTAATGGTTTTAATTTGAAATATTCACCGTTGAAAATTTTAAATTTTTATAAGCATCGGTTTTGATGTTTCAAACTTGTTTGAGGGACAAAATCCCGCGGTCTTTGTTTCAAAGGAAACACTGCTCACTTGTACTTGTGCAGTAGTAACAGCTACATTATCCAGTAAATGTGAGGGAAATCCATTTAGGAAATGCTGAACTGCTTCTGAGACAGTGGTTGTAGAATATTCTCAATTAGTGCGTGTATGCTCACGTGTACTTGATAACAGAAAAAAGTTACATATTTAAAACGACTACTTATATAAACCTTCCCTCTTTTCCCAACTACCATGAGCTTTGTGCATAGTTTTTTCAAACCTTGAATTTATCAGACTGTCTTTCCACTGTTGGTGGGTTTTGTAGAAGTTACGCATTTTTATGATAGATAAATGTTACTTCAATATCATTCCTCCCTTCTTCTCCCTAAAGTTTATCTCACCCTGGCCTACATTGTGCTACATTGTCCTGCTGCTTTGTAACAATATGTGGTCTCTATGCCTTTTTATATGATATCCAAACTGTTCTACAAACAAATGGGGTGTAACAAAACCCATGTTAACTTTAGAGGGTAATTTAGTTCCGTGGCTAGGAATTCAGTGAAGCCGCATGCCTTTCCTGCAGAGAGCAGAGTGGGTGTATTTGGGAATGAACCTGGCTCTAGGGTTCAGCCACCTCAGATCCTATACAGGCAATAGCAGCTGAAACTGAAAACTAAATGATGAAAGTTCATTTTTGGTGCGTGGAACAACCCTCAACCAACTAAGCCACACTTGCCAGGGTAAAAGTTAAGTTTTTGAGATATTTCTGAATTTTTTTAAAAATCTTTATTGTTGAAAATATTACGTGTGTCTCCCTTTTTCTCCCATTGACCCCCTTATAGCCTGTCCCCAACCCCACCCCAAACCTCCACCACCCTATTGACTATGTCCATGGATTATGGGTACTATGCATACAAGTTCTTTGGTTGATCTTGTCCCACCCACTCACAACCACCTTTCTCATTAGCAAAGTCACACCCTAACCGGATTGGCTCAGTGGATACAGTGTCGGCCTGGGGACTAAAGGGTCCCAGGTTCGATTCCAGTCAAGGGCATGTACCTTGGTTGCGGGCACATCCCCAGTGGGGAGTGTGAAGGAGATAGCTGATCGATGTTTCTCTCTCATCAATGTTTCTAGCTCTCTATCCCTCTCCCTTCCTCTCTGTAAAAAACCAATAAAATATATTTTTAAATAAATAAGTCACTAAGTAGTATCTTTTTAATTGGAGAACAATCCATGATACTTATGCAATAAATAAAAGTAAATACCACATAACAAAACTAACCTATGTGAAAACATGGCTATATCAGAGGGGATTTTTATTTCTGTGTGGTTCACATGATAGGATTGCAAAGAGTGGGAACATTTGTTGCTCTGAGGCAAGAAGACAAAAGAGTGGTTTTTGATAGCCTGCATATTCACATATATGGACTAAATCAGGGTGAACCAAGGTTTATACACAGAACTTAAGGATCACTTAACAGATGGCATTTCGAAGATAATTTGATAGGTCAGTTGGTAGTTCTTAGTAGTTCTTTGAAACTATCAATATGGGAAAGGGGCTTTTAATACTTCACTGTTTGCATGAGCCATGCATTGTATGTTTTGACTTCTCGGATAATTGTTTTCATCTATAGATACTTTTTTATCATCAATTATTAATTTATTTCAGTAATTGGAGTTTCACTGTTTTGAAGGAACTCTTGCTATTACATCTGTTTGGTCTTTAGTACAATCAAAATTTGTACAGATTATTCTAGTTAAGCCGTTAAGTGTCAACATGTAAACTTGTTTTGATTAAAGAATTTTTCTGTCAAACTCTAAACAAAACAAACAAACAAACAAAATTTAAACCAGACACTCAGGAGGCACTACTTACCAGGAGAAGTGTTATCAGGCAACTCACCTAACCTCTCTGTGCCTCAATTCCTGCCCAAATGATGGAGATAACTGGGACCCACTCCTAAGGATGTGATGAGGAGTAAATTGTGGAAAGAACACAGAGCAGTGCCCAGGTGGTCATGAATACCACAAAAGCGTGTATACTTTTATTCAGACTTCATTATACTTGTTCTTCCCACCATGATTTGAAGAGTTATATCTTCAGGTCTCTATGCATGCATTTTCATACCCAGAATTAATCTTCCATATTCCTCTCTATCAATCATGCCCATCCTATATAATAAAAGGCTAGTATGCAAATCAGCCGAATGGTGGAAGGAGTGGTCACTATAACATACACTGACTACCAGGGGGCAAACGCTCAACACAGGAGCTGCCTCCTGGTGGTCAGTGCTCTCCCACAGGGGGAGCGCTGCTCAGCCACAAGCTAGGTTCACAGCTGGCAAATGCAGTGGTGGTGACTGGAGCCTCTCCCGCCTCCATAAAAGCACTAAGGAGGGCGCAGGCCGGACTGAGGGACCACCCCCTAGCCCCCCGCAGTGCATGAATGTCGTGCACTGGGCCTCTAGTTACAACATAAAATCTCCTCAGAAAGCCTAATAAGAATCACTCACCATTGCTCTGACTAGTCCTTAAATATGCAGTATTGCCAAATAAATAAACAGCCTTGATTATCTTATTTTGCACTAGTACACAATAAGGTATGGTCAATCAATCTACCCACATATTTAATCACAATTTATTATTTGATAGGCTAAAAAATTTGACAATGAGGACAAATTCTTTAAAGTTAATACACTCATCCACTTAAAGATCTGATTTTTTAAAAAATAAAAGATAATATATAAGCAATTAAGTTTAAAAGAACATGGGAAGAAAAATAAAAAGCTTTTTGTATAGAAAGAGTTGGTTAAGTTGAGAGACAAGTACAAGGCACTTCCGATGGAAAATGTAGAGTACCTGCACTCAGGTGCTTTGAGGTATGTTGTTTCCCAATGAAAAAAAACAAATGAAGGGGAAGATTCTTCTAAGTTCTTGGAATACCCAAAAACATTAATGCATTGATCTGCACATATCAGAAGAGATTCAGAATAAAAACATTAAGTTATTGAGGGGAATGATTTAATTACCTTTAAAGTAGAGAAGCAACTCTTTAATATTGCTAGCTTTTAAATTTTTGACTAAATTTGATTATTTGGTTTAATACATAAATTAATTATGCATGAAAATGAGTAACAGGTTTAGTTTTCTTTTATGCAGATTGCTAATTAGTACTAACTTAATCTCACAGTTGAAAAAACTGATATGAATCCATAGGCAAGTGAGAAATTAAATAAAGACTTTAAAGATAAATTATTAGAAAACAGTACTCTGCCGGTCATCTAATAATATATATTAAATCATTACATAATTGCTTTGGTAGAATTGTTTATTACATTTCTAGAAAATATACATGATACTACCTGAATGCTATCAGAGACTCCAAAATTTAGACCACACACACAAACTTGAAAAAACATGCAATGCACTTTATTAAATACTTATTGAATCATACTGAGAACTGGACATTGCACATTTCTACTTTCAGACAACTCACAAGAGATACAAGAGGTGTACATAAATTGTCATGGACTTCAGAAGAAGTAAATATTTATTTTGTCTGGAGGTCGGGGAGTGTGAGGAGGGCTTTATCCAGGAAAGAGAATTTGCGTTAGAAATTGAAGGAAAGTATAACAATTAGGGAGATGTGTCTGCTCAGTGCAGGAGGGAAGGGAGAGAAGGAAGGCAGGACCACAGTGCTACACAACAGTGGGGGAGCAATTGCAGGAGATGTGAACGAGGCCACTGAGGTGTTCGGTACAAGCCTACATGGCCACATGCAATAACCTTGAGGGGGGAACTTTCTAGGCAAAGAAATACAAAAGGAAGACAAAATGGTTGAAAAATGTTCAGTACCAAATAAAGCCATGGGTTGAGGGAATGTGGCTGCTGAATGATGTGTACAGAGATGCAGAGGAGAACATCTGAAAAGTTACTAATCAGCCTAACAAAGTAGGTAGACAAGTAAAATGAAGGATTCGACAACAATGCCTAAGGACCCTATTACCTCTGAAATTCCACGAACGAAACTCCTGTTACAAATCACAAGGAGTTTGAAATAAACTGGCCAATTCTGTAGTAAGGAATAACGGGATGCAAGTAAGAGTTATACAGTGGCAGCGTCAACGGAATAAAACAAGTGTCGCCTTGAAAGTTTACCTGACAAATTAAAGAAGTTCCCTCCTTTGCTCGATTGGCGTCTGCTCCCAGCAGAAGCAAGCATTCAACCATGATGCTGTTATTCTGATCGCATGCTCTCTCTAGCATCACACCTTTTAACTCATCATCCATGGCTAATTTTGCAAAGCACTTGCAACAAAGGCTTAGAAACTAAAAAGAATGGAAATAAGGATTAGAGTTGGCTAAATACATGACAGTTAGCACACAGGGGAGAAACTTGGTACCTGTTGATCCTTCTGTTCCATGAGACTGGAGGACATCTGATGGAATATTACTAAGTCAAAGGAATAATGCACCAACAGCTTGGAAAAAGACTCTGAACATTCCAGCACGGTCAAGACTGTCTGAAATCCCTGCAAGCATGATCACAAATAATAATGGAAACAGAAGCAATTATGAGCAAAAAAAGAATGAATAAATAAATAATATAAAAAGCATGTATCTGATATTAAAAACCTGAATTGTTCGCTTAACTAAGTAGATATATTTGTTGGGTGTGGACTTTAAAGCTACAAACCTTGAAATAATCCTATAAATACACCTTGCTCTCTCATTACTAAGAAACAGAGCAGGCCCACAGAAAATAAAATGCTAACAAACCATTGTCTAGCAAAGCAGGAAAAACTCCTAATTCAATAATATTTAGCTTTTAAAGATTCCTGGCTGAAGCTATTGCTACACGATGCAAGCCAGGTATTCATTGGGATGGAAACATCACAGGCTGCAGTGTTGCAGACCCAAATAGGCCAGTAAAGTTATGTTTTTATTATGAGGTTGCAATTGGGTTTTATAGATAACCCAGCATTTCCCCCAACGTTTTGCGCTTTCTTCTAAAATTTTAACCTCAGAGACAAATGTGAGCCCTTGGATCTCATTCACATTCAGTGTATTTGAGAGAAGCTCTCAAGGCACTCTGAAGTTTACATCCTTGAAGCAAATTATTTATAAAGAACTGATCAGTCATGCCATTCCTTTTTAGAACCACCTAAACGTATTTCCAAGAGTTCTGGGCTCTCCACCCAGGCGAGATTTAAAGGAAAGAATGAACTTTCTTGTCTTTTCTATTACTTAGTGTGAGTAAACTCACCAAAGATCAGCTTAACTTTTTTGATGTTTAACATCTTTCAATTTCATATATTAATAAGATCATCAAAATATTAAAATAATTATTTTGAGCACTTAAGATGCTGAGTTCCTAGAAATAATTCCTAATATTTGATAAGAGGCATAATCTTAATTTATGCAGGTCTAGGGACATATGGTTCACCCACCTCTATAGCAGAGGTCCCTGCAAACTCAAATGCAGCGGCAAAGTAGGTAATGCGAATGAATGTGTAGAAGGCACCTAGTTCAAATTAAAAACACATAAACACTGAACCAGCCAAATAAAGTATGTTGGCAGGTTGAATGCATGAGGTCAATAGTTTGCAACCTCTACTATAGGGATCCTAGAATTTATGCCCAGATGACTTCTCACTGAGTCACTGAGAGTCCCATACCTGCACAAAACCATATCCTTCCCCTTGGATTACTTTTAACCAATTCTGCCTTGGCGTTAAGCAGTCTCAGTAGAGGCACATTATAAAGAGCCTATTTATAAAGCGCATTGTTGTTTTTAATCTAAGAATATTGTGTGTTCAGCAGCACTTCATAATTGAAAACTTTATATCCATTATCTCATTTACTAATAATGTCCCTGCAAAGGTTAGAGCCAAGACATTTTTATTCCTGGTCAATGCTTCCATTTGTGAAACTATTTGCTGAGCATGGTTTATGAAAGTTGCAAACTCTATTACTAAAAACCACAACCAGGGCAGAAATCTTAAAGAAACTATTTGTTTTCCCAACATTCGAAGGGGGTGGGGGGGACTTGAAAGAATGTATTTCTTTTTTAATATATTTTTTATTGTTTTTTGTTTTTATTGTTTTTTGTTTTTTTTTACAGAGAGGAAGGGGGAGGGATAGAGAGTTAGAAACATCGATGAGAGAGAAACATCGGTAAGCTGCCTCTTGCACACCCCCTACTGGAGATGTGTCCGCAACCAAGGTACATATCCTTGACTGGAACCGAACCTGGGACACTTCAGTCCACAGGCTGATGCTCTATTATCCACTGAGCCAAACCGCTTAGGGCAAAAGAATGTATTTCTTAAATCTTGCCTTAATTAACCCTAAGGCAGTATCTTGGATTCCTCATAAAAACAGTGATTGATTATATATCATATTTTAAATGTTGCTTGATGGAAAAAAAATTTAATATTGTTTCACTGCAAGGAAAAAATTCGAGGAGCAAAAATACTACAGGTAAGCAGCCCACAACAAAACACAGAGAATGACAAACCAGAATAATTATAGCTTCTATTTATACAAACTCTAAGCAAATGCAGCTCAGCTACCTAGAATCTCTTCAGCACACTCTCTGCTCTTTCATGGAAAAGACAAACGGCAAATAAACAAGCTGATCTTGGAGATTTAATGAAGAAACATAGGATCTTTGAGATTTAATCCAATTCTCTGTCCCTTCTATAATTAAAATATTACAAAATGATAGATGGTTTTCAATTAACTAGAATATCTCCATTAAGTGGGAATTATACCAACTTCTCTGAAAGAAATCTGCACAAGATCAAATTCCCTTCAAGATAATGCACATACTTTAGTCTGTAATTCAGTAATATCCTTAAATCGTTGCAAACTGGAAACCAGAATTTTTGCCAGCGGATTCTCAATTCCTAGGATTAAATTCTTCTTTGTAATCAAGCATCCTATAAGACTTAAACCCAGACGCTGAATTTCTAGAAGAAAGGGGAAAAAATAAACAATATTAAGTGTTTTAAATCTCAAAACTAAAGAAAAAACTTTAAAGACACCCCACCAGCAGCTAAAGGCCTATAAAAATCTACTCTAAACTCTGCGTTCAAATTGTACCAACCTTGGTCATCCGGATACATCTTCAGTGTTTGCAGCACCGATTCAATAGCACCTTCCAGAGATAACACCTCTAAGGCATCAGGAAAACGTGCTATAGAAGAAATTACTTTTAATCCACATTTTTGAATCCCAGGATTTCCAATGAACTAAAATCAAAAGGACAATTCAAAATATTTGCTTTTAAAAATGAGTCCTTAGTACTTATTTTAGTTAATGCCAGTTATAGACTGATCAAATATAAAGTATTTAAATAAAGATTAATATGCTTGATTCTGCCTCATACTAATAATTACTATTATTCATTATTAAGGTTAAAAAGCTAATACTTCAATACATATTGAGTACCTGTTCCATGTCAGGGACTGTGCTAAATACTTTACATGCATTTTCATAATCTTAGTAAATATCATACTCTACTGACTTCATTGATGAGTTCACAAATGGTTAAAGGGCTTGAATAACTATTCCTACAGTCGCACAGATTGTAAATTGCTAAGTTAAGATCATATCAGGGATGTTTGATTCCACAGCCTGCATGTTTAACCAGGAAAATGCAATGCTGCTTGTCACTATAGAAAATACTAATTGAGAATTTACTCTTTAAGTGCTTTACTTGCCTTATCTGTCCATTTCCCCTCCACCTCCTCAGGGAATAGATTCACCAAACTTTAAAGACATGGGAACAGAGCTGAAGTCACACAGCTAAAAAGTGTCAGGCCTGAGACTTGAACATACACATGTCTACTTTCAAAGCCCAGGATCTTAATCCACTTCCAACCTTCCATCTCAATTCTTCCAGGTGATTTGTCATTATTTACGATATTCTTTAATAGAGGCCACTTCTTTTTCCAGGCCACCACACTAACTGAGAATAACACAGTCAACACACTTTCCAACCACATGACAATCACAGCCATACCTCCCTTCCTTGGACATCGGTGATGTATAGCTAACTCTTACTGATCCTCTCTGCTTTTCCATGATGCTCTCCTAACTTCTACCATGATGCACATGTCCCCCAAATAAATAGCTTTCCTTTCAAAAAAAATGACGTTATCCTTACCAGCACTTTTCCTTTCACGGACACTGGTTTCATGGTATCTCCACTCCAAATCTCTGGTTGATGTCAGCACAGGTCACCATAGAGCTAAGTGGCTTCAAGCCAGGTGTAAAACTTCTCAACCAACACCTTCTACCCTGTCACCATTCTCCCACCCATTCTGTTAAAGAACAGATGTTCATTCCTTTACCAATCTAGTCCCTCGGTGCCTAGCAACTGTCCTTATTCAGCATCTTTTTGTGAATAGGGTGTGGCTAAGCATCATTTGCTCACCGTGTGCCCTTCTCCTCCACATGTCTGGTATCTCCCAACCTAAGCATGTTTACTGTAAATGCTGAAAACATTTTCGAGGCACAACCAATTGGCTATAAGGCAATTTCACCATAAAAGATAAAATAACAACAAATAAGAAACACTAAAAAGGACAAAATAAAACATGAAAAATTAATAACAAAATTTTAAAAACCTAATTGTGAAAAATGAACATATATTGTTTTGGAAGTCTTTCATTCACAGTATTATACTGTACTTTTGCTTTATAGGCTGTGGATTCATCTCCTTGTTTAGCTTCACACTTTTTCACTTTAGATACTAATTTTTCCTTCCTTAAGAGAGATATCAATTTCAAAGAAGCAAAAATGAATGCTCCTGAAACTGTTGAGAATTAGTAGTCACATCTTTCCTGTTTGCCATAGCTTGGTAAACTTTTGGTGTTGATGGTGGAAGGGATGACTGTGCACACCAAAGGATTTTCAAACTACATTACCGTTTTCCAACATAGTATAAAATCTGGCTTTACGTGTGGTTTTTCAATCTGGCCTCATATATAGTACTTGTCATCCACTACTTTAGGATCACCATGTCTACTCCTTACTATAGAGACCATTAAGAGGGCTAAGCCAGTGGTTCTCAACCTTCCTAATGCCACAACCCTTTAATACAGTTCCTCATGTTGTGGTGACCCCCAACCATAAAATTATTTTCGTTGCTACTTCATAACTGAATTTTGCTACTGTTATGAATCATAATGTAAATATCTGATATGCAGGATTTATGTACATTGTTACAAATTGAACATAATTAAAGCATAGTGATTAATCACAAAAACAATATGTAATTATATATTGTGTTTTCCGATGGTCTTAGGCAACCCCTGTGAAAGGGTCGTTCGACCCCCAAAGAGATTGTGACCCACAGGTTGAGAACCGCTGGGCTAAGCTCTATATAATACTAGAGGCCCGGTGCATAAATTTGGGCACCAGTGGGGTCCCTCGGCCTGTCCTGCAGGATCAGGCCAAAATCAGCTCTCTGACATCCCCTGAGGGGTCCCGGATTGCAAGAGGGTGCAGGCCAGGCTGAGGGACCCCACCAGTACACGACTGGGGCCGGAGGGACGTGGTAGGTTGGCCAGCCAGGGAGGAGCCACAGGAGGGCTCCAGGGCATGTCCGGCCCATGTGACCCACAGGTTGAGAACCGCTGGGCTAAGCTCTATATAATACTAGAGGCCCGGTGCATAAATTTGGGCACCAGTGGGGTCCCTCGGCCTGTCCTGCAGGATCAGGCCAAAATCAGCTCTCTGACATCCCCTGAGGGGTCCCGGATTGCAAGAGGGTGCAGGCCAGGCTGAGGGA